CCCCTGCGGCTCCCTCTTCAGGGGTTCTCTCCACTCCTTTAATTAATCTCTTGGGATTCTTCAGAGCCGTTTAAATACGACTTCCTCAGAGAAGTCTCCCCGAGATCCAGACACATTCGACTCTTGTATGTGCTCCCTTCTTCTATGTTGAAATACCTACTGTTCTTTAAAGCTACAGGAGTATTTGTAATTGTGGTTGAATAAGAATCGGGATTGAGTTCTTGCAACCTAAATATTAACAAGCAGGGGGTGAATAAATTTTGGTTCATCCCATATGATAAAATATTATTCAGTCATTAAAAATGATGTAATAAAATATTGTATTAATATGGGATTTATAATGTTGAGTAAAAAGAGAAATTAAATTGTATAGACATTTCAACTATGTGAAAATATAAAGACTTAAGGACACTAAAATGTTTATAGGTTGTTTTTTTTCCCTGGATGATTTCCATCTTTTCTTAAAACTTTCTCATCTCCTCAAATCATGTTATTTATTTTTAAATTAATGAGAAAAACATAATTTTCTGCTAGAGAAAAAGAAATCTGAGTTCTAGAAAACATAACTTTAAAACCTTTTAAAAAACGGTGGATATGTAAGAGACTAGTAAGCCACATGGTGATTGCAAGGTCACTGGACATCATGAAAGACCTTGTGCAAAATTCCTCTTATGGCCCTGAGACCCTCTGATCCACCAGAGATGACAAACAGACTACAAACATTATTTTTTCTCTCAGCTTTATTGAAACATAATTAACAAATAAACATTGTATATGTTTAAGGTGTAAAATGTGATGTTTTGATATATGTATACATTGTGAAGTGATCCCACAATCAAATGAATATATCCTCACTTCTCAGTTACCGTGTGTGCACCCAATGACACCTGGGTTGACCCCGTACTTGGCTGCGGTGAACGTGGGTGCTCAGCTATCTCTTCAAGGTCCTGTTTTCATTTCCTTTGATCTACACCCAGAAGTAGAACAGCTGGATTATATGGTAGTTTTATTTTCAAATTTTTTTTTTTTTTTTTTAGGAAGCTCTATATTGTTTTCTACAGTGGCTGCACCAATTTATATTCCCACCAACAGTGCACAAGGGTCCCAATTCTCCACATCCTCACCAACACTTCTCTTTTGGTAACAGCCATTCTAACAGATGTGAGGTACAACTCCATTGTGGTTTTGATTTGCATTTTCCTGGTTATTGGTGATGTTTAGTAACTTTTCACATCCTGTTTTTCTTTTTTTTTTTTTTTTTAATCCTCACCCGAGGATATTTTTCCATTTTTTGTACAGATAGAGGGGGAGGGAGAGACAGAGAGAGAGAGAGAAACATTGACGTGAAGGGACACATCGAGTGGCTGCCACCCGCACGACCAACCAGGGCCGGGGACAAACTGCAACCGAAGTACGTGCCCTTAGCGGGAACCGAACCCGGGTCTCTCCGGACCGCAGGCCGACACTCTAACCGCTGAGCCAAACTGGCCAGGGCACATCCTGTTTTTCTTAAACAAAGTGCAACAAGGATGTGAGTGTCCCCTCCCAGAAGATGGCTGTATGTCTTCGCCAAGGAAAGAGAACTTTAGTATTTGCAAATTCCCCATGAAAGGTCCCTCTTTGTAGAGAAGTTTCACTTGCTTGGTTATTTCATGCTTATATTAAAAGACATGGAGAAAGATCATCCCTCACAGATTCATATAAGGTAAGAAGGCCCTGCCTTCCTTTCAATACATTTTCAAAACAGTTGCCAAAGTAGTTCTGTTCAATGTTAGCTGGTTCATGTCAATCAATCCTCTCCTCAAAATGAAGTTTTTCATCAAACTCTGAAGAAAAGGAAAGTCCTCAAAACAGTACCACGCAGTCTGGTGTCTGTTACTCTCTGGCCTCATCTCCTGCTTTTCTCTCTCTCTCTCCCTCTCCCTCTCCCTCTCCCCTCCCACTCCCCCCACTGGATCTATCCTTTCTTCCCTCTCCTCCAGCCTCAGGATGCTGGCCTCCGCTCAGAATGTTTCTGGGCTCTCCTCCTATGTCTGCACGTCTGGCTTCCTTACTTCAGGTTTTATTTTGATGGCACCGTCTACATAACACTGTGTCCATCAGTACACCCCCATCCCCTTTATCTTTGTCTCCATGGTACTAGTTTTTAAAACATTCTGAATATTTTAGTTTGTTATTTTGTTCATGATCTATCTTCCCCTGAATATAGACATTTAATATGTTTTGGTTATTTCTGGTCCCCCAGCGCCTAGAACAGAATCTGGAACATAATATGTACTCAGTAAATAGTACCCAAATAAACAAATGAGTGAATGAATGAATGTTCCACATGAACTGACTCAGGAGAGGCAGGAGACCCGTGACCCGGTGCCCCCTCCTCCAGGCTCTGCCCTAGATCATTATGCAACAGAAGACCCCATCTTCAGGGAGGAGAGGGGGGTACATGTTTGATAACTTCTGTACTTGGCATTACCTTTAGCCAGGATAATTTCAGCTTTCAATTGATCTCTGTCTCTTGACATCCAGAGGGTTCCATTTCATGGTGATTTTTAAATAATACAATAAAAGGTCTGGCTTCTGGCATATACTCACCTACATAATACAAATACTAAAATGATGCCCTAAACTGCTGGGACCAATGGCCTCATCCACAGTCAACTAGGCTATTTCCTGCTGGTTAAAAGATTTCTCTAAACATGACCAGATTCCAGAAAGAGTCCAGTGAGGCCACATGACAAGGGACAGTTAGACGGAGTCCTTTGAGTTCGGAAATATGAAGTCTCCCTCAGAATCTCAGAAAGGACAGAACGGGATAAACAAAGACATTTCATGAAGCCTGAGACAGGTCCTTCACTTAGGAGTCTACAGGTTAATTTGACTTCCCACTGTAACTTATCTAGCAATACAAAACATTTCTACACACGCAATCAGAGTTTTAAATGCGTAGGGATCAGAGGACTCATTTGGGATTATCATTTATTATCAATAAAGTTAAACAGATTAAGCAAATGGTTACTAAGTTTATCAAGAGGAAAAGTGGGATACCCTGGGCTCCAACTGCATTAGTCCTAGGAATGTGAATACTTCCTCACGCTTCACTTGACTTTGGAAAGTGCACAGTAAGACAAATGAACCACATGGCACTGACAATATGCATGAATATCAGCAACGTAATATTAAAAAGTAATATTAAAAGTTCCCCAATAGTCAGTATATGCAACATAATGTTCTCCTTAGAAAATTAAACACCTACGTGAAAGTTTTAGGAAAACGTATGTTTGCAATAAAACTATATAAAAAATAAAGAAATCATATGCACAATTCAGTGTGATGGTTATCTTGAGTGGGAAAGGCAGGGAGGGTGGTTTGGAAGGTGCTGGGCAATAGCATTTAGATATAAGTTACTTTTAAGACATTGTCAGCAAAGAAAAGTTGTATTATGTTTATTATATTCTAGTTAACAAACCAGAGATTTAATACATTTTCACCAGAAAATTTTAAATAAAAATTAAGTGATTTAGAGCACCTATCTAGACATTTATTTCCATAGAAGTCTTTATTACTCCATAGAACAGTGAGACAAACTAAGTTTGTATCCAGCATTAGACTCATATTTTAAATCTAATAAATACTGACACATTTGATAATTAAAACAGACTACTAGGTCAAGTAGTAAAAGTCACATAAATATAATCTACATCGAACTGAACATCCTCAATCACATTTACTGCAATACTTTATGCAGCACAAATTATAGTACAAACAAGTAAATGTCTCCTTTTATAATTTAAGTTTTACAAGCTAGAATTTGAAGCTTTACCCAAGAATTTAGCTGCTTGAAAATTTACCCAACACATTCCTAAGTTGCATGCCCCTCCTTGCCAGGAGGCTTGGCCACTGCATGGCAGGCAAGGCCTAAGTCATCTGCCAGCCAATGTGAAACAGGCAGGCCTGCTAAGCAGTCACAGAAGGACATGCTGCCGCAAATCCTAGGCTGCTCTAGGCTCATGGCTCATAGTAATTAAATTATAGCTAAAGGAAGAAACAAAACTATGAATTATTTTACAGTCCTTACTTCTTATATATTTCATGAGAATTTTGAATTCTTGCCACTTTGTGATGCCACTGTAAGAGAAATGACAAAGCCCCCGTCTCAATGCCCCCGCAGACTGGATGCCATCGCTGTTCTCATCCTGGACAGAAAAGAGGACCTTTCGCCTCAGGGGGAAGCAGCAAGGAGTATACATAGAGCTTGATCACACGAAACCTGTTTGGGTCTTTCCCTCCAGAATTTTCACTTCCACCTAGAACTCTGATACAATTTAGGGAGGGAGACCTCATCACCAAGAGGCAGAAAAACTGGTGTAGGTAATAGGGATTATTATTAATAATAAATAGAAAATAAAAGGACTTCACTGAAAAACACTTCTAAATTATTTTGAGTCTTAAACCTTTCCTTTCATTGACTTAAAAAGAATGTATCTAATAATTAGAGGCCTGAAAATGTAAAGAATGTCTCCTCTAATCCTTGCACAAAATTTTCCAAAAATATTCCATATTATGATATAGAATTCACATAAATTTACTGCCTTTCCTTGGGATGAAAGATGGCTTAAATAACTATTTGTTTTAACACCCAAAATAATTTTTGCTGGGTAAATTGTAGTCTTTTATTATAGAATAATTAAGAAATTTAGAAAATGTGAGGAAGCCAAAAATAATTTAAGTTAATACAAGTTTCATTTAAAAACTACATCTAAATGAAGGAATGAATAAAGCCACAGTTGCAACCTCATTAATAAAAGGTTGGCAATTCTAAATGTATGCAATTGTTTTAATATGCTAATTTAAATGTCATGTGTAAATTTAACTTGAAAGAATATGGATAAGTATTAATTCTGAAAATAATACTTATATGACAACATTTACTGAATAATGTTAACTTGCAAAGACATACCATTAATTTATAAAGAAGGTAGTTTTTCTTTTCAACTATGTAAGTCCCAATTCCAATAAAAAACACCAAAATTAACAAATAATTATGATTCCATTTAAAGTTCTATCTTTAAACTCTTCGTAATCTTCTCGGTAAATATCCTAAATAAAAGATGACAAAATTGAATCTTATTAATACAAAATGTCATAGTCAGCTGTCACTGAAAATTTTTTAACATTTCTAAGACTGTAAAGCAACAGTTAGCCACTCCCTCTGTTTCCTGTTTTGATAACTTTTATGTTCTCTAGTTGATCATGAAAAGCTTCTGATGGACCTGATGTTAACTCGTCTTTTTCTTCTCCACTCTAGTGCCTGCCAATAATATTGGTGACTCCAACAGCCCATTTCCAGGAACTGGTCACAAAAACACTAATCATGGGCCTTTCTCTCCAGGCCACTTCGCCACTCACAAGGACATTGCTTGGACATGGTCATCACTTTGGAACTTCTTTACGTCTAGGTACTGAAACCTCTAAAATGTCCCTAGCTGTCATATTTCTGTGCCCCAACACTCTCACTGAACAGGGCCATTACCCACCTTTGAACTGCCAATTCCCTGGTCTCCTTCAAGCTTCATTTGTCCCCCTCAGCTCCACCGCCCCTCGGTACTCCTGATTTAACCCCAGAAGCCCCCTTTGAAACTGAGTGTCCTCTTCCTCCTAAACACGGTCCGATGTTCTGTTCTCAGTCCCCTCCCTGCGTCCTCACACCAAGGCCTGCACCGCCTGCTAGACCCCAGGCCTCCGTGCAGCATAGAGACCACACTGGTCCAATGCGACACTGCGTGCGCTTGCTTGGGGTCCCCCCCCCCCCGGAGCACCCAGCCGTCACCTAAGTTTCAGCAGCTTCACAAAACCGGCTCTTTCAGTGACTCCTCCATTTATCTGCCTGTGCTCAGCACTCACTAGCCTTTCTTGTCCCTCCATCTAATGCCATCGTACTAGGTGCACTTCTCCTCTCGCTCGGACCACAGTACAACGCCAGGTTTCCTTTCCGCCTCCTGCCTTGTCTCTGTTCCAAATGTTTCCACAAAATGACATCAGATTGCTTCTAAAATGCAGGGATCTGATCAACCCACTGCTCTAAAACGTTCCATCCAGATGATGTCCCAGACATGTGCATGGTCTAATTATCTTTCCATAAAACCTAATCACAGAAGGAAACATAGTCTCTCTCTATACACACACACACACATATGTATATGTGTGTGTGTGTGTGTGTGTGTGTGTGTATATGATACTCTAAGAAGGAAGCTTATATAATATTTTCAGCCCAAAATGCAAAATATGAATAAAATAATGAGACAGTATCAACAAGTCCAGAGGGATCATCTGTAAAATAACTGGCCTGTACTCTTCAAAAATGACAATATCATGAAAGACAAAGAAAGGCTGAAGAACTAAGTATAAAGAAAACTAAAGAGACATGACAATTAGATGCAATATATGATCCTGGACTAACCTGGTACCAGCAAAAAAGTCACTAAAGACATTATTGGGACGACTGGAAAAAACTGGAATACAGACAGTGGCTTATACAGTTTTATGTCCATGTTAAATACCCTGAATTTGATAACTAGTGTGGTGATATCACAGATACCCTTGTTCCTTGGATATATATACACACTAACATATTAAGGGTAATACTTTCTACACACGCACAGACAGAGAAAGAAAGTATGAGAATGACAAGGAAATGTGGCAAGATGTTAAAAATCGGTCAAGCAAGGTTAAGGTTATTCTGGAGTTCTTTGTATTATTTTTGCAACTTTTCTGTACACTTGAAATAATTTAGAATGAAAGGTTAAGACAATGTTCCATGTTTGTTCATGCCTATTGAACAGACTACAAATCCTTGGCCCAGTGTTCCCACGAGAGCCTGTGAAATACAGTCTCAGTGGACTGTGTACCCCTCCTCACTATGACACCCTAGACATTTTCTGGCCTGGCATGTACCTGATCATGCCCGTGGCTAAAATATACTCCCCTCCCCCACAGTCCCATTTATAAAAGTCTATTTTCTCTTTTCCAAGGCCCAGCTTACTTACCTTTTCTAATATTTTCCAAACTCAACCAAACTGGATATAATCTCTCCTGAAGAATTTAATGAGCCCAGGTGATTAGTAAACCAGGGCACAATTCAAAAGAAAGGGGGAAGATGATATGCTCAGTTTTAACCGTGTGAACTTGAAAAGTACCTGCAGAACAGCCTACAGAAACTCAGAGGTACATGACCAGAGGTCAGGGCAGAAGAGAGAGTTAAGGGTCACACAGCCAGAAAGAGTAACTGCAGCTATGAAGATGGGTGAGTTCTCTCAGAATAAATAAGTAGAGAGGGAGCAGGTCCAACAGTCACTCCTGGGGCAGCATTTGTTATTAGGTGGCAGCAAAGGGACACATAAAAAATGCACAGAAAATATGGTCAGAAAGGCAGAAAGAGAACCAGAACATGAAGAAGAATTTGAAGGAGCAGTAGCAAGATGATGTATTAAATGCGGCAGCATGTGCAAAAAGAAAAAAGAACTGAGCAGATGCATGAAAAAAGAAAAGGCACGGGCCATGGAGAGAGCCTGGATGGCACCGCACAGACGGGGCTCCAACAAAGTGTATTAAATGTCAACAGATACTAACGAGTGCCGACTGTGTGCCAAAGGGGCTCAGGAGGGAAACTGGCTGGAATGAGCAATGCTTACACGCTAAAGGTTGAAGAAGACAGGCTATGAAGGGGAATTTTTTTAAGTCTATACTTTATCATTGCTATCAAAATAGATTCTTACCAGAAGATGATTAGAAGATTCATCTTGTGTAGTCTGAGTCTAGAAACAATATAAAACATAAGGAAAATTCAAGTTGGCCTCTAGGAATGGTTTTCCCATGAACAAATACATGTTAGGGAATAAGTTACAATACATTTTAAAAACATGATTATTAGTTTTTGTAATCTGGTTTAAAATCGTAATACAAAATAATGAATTACAAGGATACCTTTTGTTTATAAGAGGTAATTTCTGAAAAACACAGCATATTACTTTGAGTTGCTAAGTAACCCTTACGAGACTGATGGTTAACAGAAGGCCTCTTGCCGAGGCACGAGACCTGACAAGTTCAAGGCTGTGGCCAGAGCACACTTAGATACGATCTAGTCGGCTTGTCAAAGTGACTGGACCTGGATTAAAACTCAGGACAAGGTCCCGGTGTTTTGCACTAAGAAACCACTCACTCCTTTTTCCTCTACTCACCCTTCCTGCCTCATTCTTTTTTAAAAAAAAAAATTTTTTCTTTATTGAGAGAGAAAAAGGAAAGAGAGTGAGAGAGAGGAAGGAAGAGAGAGAGAAAGATAGAAACATCGATGAGAGAGAACATCAACTGGCCTCCTCCTGCACGCCCCGCACTGGGGATTGAGCCCAGAACCTGGGCATGCGCCCTGACCAGGAATCAAACCGGCGACCTCTTGCTGCATGGGTCAACACTCAACCACTGAGCCACACCGGCCAGGCTCATTCCCCTTAACTGGATAGGAAAAGTAAAAAAAGTATCACTAATCTGAACACTGGCTTATATGTCATTATTGCAAACAATTTCTGCTATTATCGATGCACTATTACACAAACAGTAATGAGTTTCTAGAATTACATTGCTTACAAAACAGCATTCTGTTTCGATTATTATTGTTTGAAAATATTCTTCACAAAATCTAAAGATTTACTGTCAAAATAGAAGCTGTTATGAAGTGACCGTACTAAGAACCCATAGAGGCATGCCGCATGGTACCACGTGTATTCGGACATGCACGTGAAGGAAAGAAAATAACTATTATGATTTACCAATTTGTGTGGCATTCTTAGTTATATACACAGAGATTTATGTCCAATTTAATTGGTTGAGAATCCAGATCTTTCAATTACTTTAATAAATATTCTGAATCACATCTAATGTTGCTCTGGCCACAGCATCAAACTCAGTATTGATGCGGCTTTAGGTCATGGTTTAATTTATGAGATGTTTTCCAGGAATGAAGTGATGACATCAAGGCCATAACCCAAGGGCAGATTTTGTTAAACGCATTAGATGGCAGCATCCATGTGACTATATAAAGTGACATCAAATTTTATTTGCTGCTAAAATATTTTTCTTCATCAATATGGATGAGTTTTGTCATCTGTATTAAAAGTCATCATTAAAAGTCAGATTTATCAGACAAGTGTGTTCCCTTTGCTCAGTAAATTCCGGGCAACATTCCCCTTCTGCAATACTCCACTCATCTCCCCCGTGGTCTGCTCTACTCTCTGCTTTAACGTAGATGTTGTACCTTTTCCCCGTACTCAAGGGTATGTTTACTGATTTAGGGCGAGAGGAAGGAAGAGAGGAACATCGACGTGAGAGAGAAACATCAATCGATTGCCTCCTATACATGCCCTGATCAGGGACTGAACCCACAACTTAGACAAGTGCCCTGACCAGGAATTGTACCTGCAAACTTCTGGTGTATGGGATGACGCTCCAACCGAGCCACCTGGCCAGGCAAGCCATGCTTTTCATTATGAGGAACACTGGCTATACAGTAGGCTCATTTCTACCGTCCTGTACACTGCATGCGACAATCGGGGAAAGTGCTGGCCTACTGACTCCCAAGTGAACTAAACTCTTATAGAAGCCAGTTCTTTAAAATAATAAAAAGTTTAACTTACTTTCACTAGATTAATTGTTGACCTTTCAGCCTAAGTCTATATTTTTCATTTTCTTCGAGCATTCTAGAAATCATTTTGTGTACTTTCTTCCACACTAAAACCTTAAAAAAATTAAGCAGAGTTAAGACATGCTGAGGAGAAAAGCAGTAATACATCTTGATGGAGGAACCTGGGAGCGACTCAGCTGTGTTGTGTGTCAATGGATATTATGCTGATAAAGCAACCTTAGCACTTAGAGACTTAAACGTAAATGTAATAGTTTTCCCATGATGACTGAATTCTCTGAATTCTTTTTCCAACTCCCTAGATTTCCTCAGTAGTATTAAATGAACTGTCCTGGATGAAGTTTCCTTTCGAAGGCCATGTCTACAAAGCTCTACCTAAACGGTTCCAACACATTCAATTTTGTTTTGAAAGATAATAAAATAATCAATTTCTATTCCTATGTCTAAACCAGTGGGCCATAATTTGACTTATATTTTATTTCAGATATGAAACATTCCTACTAGGACATACCAAAGCAGAATAACTAGAGAACATGAATGTACCAGATAGAAAAATGAGGACGATGGAAGCAAACACACTGACCTCAGCTCAAACTCTGGCTTTGCCACTCACCAGTTGCTTGACATTGAGCAAGTGTTTTAACCCCATCGAGGAATAACTTCATACATTGGAATATAAGAATTAATGAAAAATATTTGTAAAGCATGTGCTCATGTCTGGCATGCAATAGTTTTAAGTAAATATTGGCTTTTATTCTTTTCTCCTCATCTAAGAGGAATTGGTTCTTGGAAGAAATATTTCATAGTGCGAAGATTAGGTACTCACTCAAAATACATTTGCTGCAAGGGTTAGTCACCTTGAATGCTATTTTATAATATATGTGAGTTATGACTCAAACACTAAGCTCAAAAATACAATTTTATGTGTCATCATTATCAAGTAACAATTTCTTTAAACTGAGTATAAAATACATGGTGGAAATCAAAGATGAGCAGCTAATCTTCACGTGTAAAACATGCAGGCTACCATGACATTCAGACCGGAGGTGAAGAAGGGTCAGCACTAAAGGTCCGTCCTTGTCAGCTTTCCTGCTGGACACTGAACATGCGTCCTTGTCTTCACAGAGCAACGTGCCACCAACAGATACGTGGCTCTTTCCGTGAAACCCATCATTTTTTTGTTGTATTATACGATCTATCCAAGTTTGTTATAGTCTATGGAACATATATTTTCATGCTTTGGAAAAATCTCCTAGTGGGTTACATTTGGATTAAAATGTGTTTTGTACCTTCAAACACTATAAGGACTGTACTTTATGGTTAATGAACATTTCCAAACCAAGTTTCATTTCTGCTAAATTACTTCTACTTTCTCATTTCAGTAAATTAAACTTTTCAAAAGATAAAACTATTTTTACTCTCTTGAATGTTTACCCATTTGTATTTAGAGAGGTTAAGCTAAAATTCAAATGTTGCTCATTCCCCTTTTCAGTAATATACCTTTTGCTTTTTCTTCGTTATTTTGGAAGCTTCGTTGAAATGTATAGGAAACTCAAACTTTTTAGCTAAAGTCTTCTGGGTTGAGCCTAATTTATAAAAGAGAAAGAAGGGAAAACATCAAGGTCAGCACACATTTTCAAGGCGTCACTAGCCTAGAATTATAAATGTCCCTTGAGCCCTCTCTGGGGATTTTTACAGTTGTTGGTGTATTTATGATCACTAGGTAACACCAGCCTACCAATTCTCTAATACAATGGTGGGAAAACCAAAAAAGAAAGAAAACCAGAGGTAACCTTGGAAGTGCCTAGAAAATGTCCTTCCTTTGCTGATTTGAAAGGTGAGCCCCTAAAAGGTCAGCAACAGTAAGCAAGCACCAGAACCCCATCTCGCCCCAGTGTACTTCTGCGATCTCCTCTCTTCTCCATTCACCTTCAGGTACATTTGCTTCCAATTACACAAAACACCTGTGGTTCCCCAAACAGGCCTTCTTCTTACCCGTCCCAGCCTTTGCACTTGCTGTTCTATATGGCTAGAACACTGTGTGTGCGTGCGTGTGTACACACACACACACACACACACACACACACCCCAGGCAAATTTCTACCTGCTCTTCAAGACTCAGCTCCTACGTCACCTCCTCCCTGAAGCCTTCCCTCAACCACGCAGTCAGGCGCACAACACTGGCTCCAGGAACACCTCATACAGAGCACTTAGCCCTTTTACATCTTGTGTTTACATTGTGTTTCCTCCACTAGGCTGTGACCTTCCAGAGGCCGTGGTCTTGTGTGGCTGGTTCATCTTTCTGTCCACACACGACACATAGGAGACACTAAGACAAGTCCGTCAGAGTGAATACGCTTCCTCACTACTCCCTGAGCTATGCTGTCTTCCCAAGTGTTAACTGTTAGAAGAAAACCTAAGGGCTGTGTATCCAAAGACAAAATCGGAAAACACTGGGCATGTGTTCCCTGGAAGCCTTTATAACTGTTCTCCTTTTGTCTGGGACACACCCATCTCTTCCTCGCCTCTCTGCCTCACCACCTCTCCACCCGGCTTCCTCCTGCACATTCAATATTCAGCTTTCCAGAGGCCTCTGGTCTCACAAAGCACCCTGTGCTCAGTCCTTAGAGGATTTCTCCCATCGTTTACTTGAGTGTGTTTTATTCTTCTTTAGAGATCCAGCATCCAATGCCATAGGTACTAGATATACAATAACCATTCCATTTGTTGAGTAAATTAGAACACGTTGTAACGGCACACTGTGAGAAGCATGCTCTGAGTCCGGGTTGGGCACAGACCTATTGCTAAAGAACATTCACTCGCATGAGAAACTCACCCCCTCCCCCATTCTCTCCCAATCTTCTGATTACATTAAGGAGAAAGTCTAGGTGTGGAATTAGTATGTCATTAAGACTTCCCTCAGACTGTCATGAATATTTCTTTAACACTATTGCCAGAAAAGAAACTGCGGCTCCAAAGAGACAATGCCTTGCCCGAGGTCCCAGGGCTGGGTCCCACTGAGATGGGTGACTAGCAGGTCCACTTAGATTTAGCATGAGGAGTGGCGGTGGGGTAGGTAGAAGAAGGGCCCCTGGCCTGTGACTATGTCACCTTTGTGCCTGCTAGTCAGCTGACTCTAAGATAAGGGATTATCCGGGATATTCTGGGTGGGCCCAGGTCACCAATGTGATCACGGGGTCCTGCGGTGGGGAGGGGAGGCAGTCAGTGTCGGGAAAGAAGGAGTCTCCACTGTGCTGCGGCCGTGCAGTGGATGAAGCACCCACGAGCCCAGAAGGCAGGCGCAGCGGAAGCTGGAAAAGGCAAGGACAGGAATTCCCCCCGGAGCCTCCAGAAAGGACAGCAGCCTGCCCACACCGTGGGGGGAACCTAGGAAACCATTCCGACCTCCAAAAAGGAAGGAAATAAGGAGGTGGAAGAGAAGGCAAGGGAACTGAGTTGAACATAGAAAAATAAAGTTAAAGAACGAAGATGCAAAGAAGGGGACGAGCGTCAGGTTGGAGGGAAGCCCGCACCGAGGAGAGATTGACTGGATCTTCATTTTCAGTGTGTAAAGAGCTTTGTGATCTGAGCAACTGGACCACAAAAGGGTTCTGAGTAGGTATTAATACCCCTATTTAGAGATGAGAAAATTCACGCTCTTGGTGTTTAAGTAACTTGGCCAAAGAGACTTGGACCGACACGTAGGCAAAGAAACAGGAAGGAGAGAGCCAACATTCAACATGCAAATGGCTACGTGAATAAGACTGTGATTGCCACTGGGTTTTGAATAGGCAGGTGCTAAATTTTTCTTCTCAAAAATATTAATATTACTGAACAAACATTGTAACACAAAAGTCAAATACAAAAATTAATCATGGTTCACCTACGCCACTCAAATCATGTCTCCTCTGTCACCTTCCCATAGTTTCACTATACACACCCCATTTTGCATGGTTCTCATTACAGTTTAGATATAATTTTGTATCTTTTTACTTCATGTTATAAAAAATTTCCTATCAGTCATCATAATTTGTAACAGCTGCTTGACATTTCATGCCACTAATGTATAATAACTTACTAAATAATGTCCATACGTGTACTGTTGGACGTTTTTTTAAAAAGGCTTCTCTAAGACTTGCTCATGGCTCTTTATGACCACAGACAACCTTCAGCAGACAACCAATCGGGCTGCAATTCAACACTGTATCACCTTTATTAGATTGTTTTAAATGAACTTCTATTTATGGCAAATGGTACAGGTTTTCCGCAGAGGTAATGATATAACGTGTTCTAAAAAGGGATTTAGCTAAGAGGGAGATGTACCTATTTAAATCGATACATTAGGTAAATGACAGTACAGATGAGATGAGTATATGGTGTAGGAAAATAACTCCAGTTTGGGAAGCTCTGCTCTTCACATACACATACTTCTCCTTCCGAGCAAATGCTGTGGCCTTTGGAATGCTATACTTGCATCATTCCCACATGTTCTGTTTGCAAGTCTTACCTAACCGAGACATACACTCCTTGAGCTCAAGATAGGAGCCATCCAGTCTATATGTAATTAGATGGGGAGGATCCAAAATATGTCAAGGAGTAGTAGAGAAAATGGGAAAAAGAAAAAAGAATTGTTTCTTCCATTTGGTACCTCACTGAGCCTGCTCCCATATATACCATAGACTTTGATCCGACTTATGTTTCAATTCTTTCTCTAGTTGTCACTTTCTACATATTCTGACCCTGTCAAAATATATTATAGCCTGGGCTGGTTTTGCATCAGCCTGTGGACTGAAGAGTCTTGGGTTTGATTCTTGGTCAAGGGCATGTACCTGGGTTGCAGGTTCATCCTCGGCCCTGGTCAGGGTCGTGCAGGAGGCACCCAATCGATGTATCTCTCTCACATCAATGTTTCTCTCTCTCTCTCTCTCTCTCTCTCTCTCTCTCTCTCTCTCTCTCTCCCTCCCTCCCTCCCTCCCTCCCTTCCACTCTAAAAATTAATGGAAAAATATCCTTGGGTGAGTATTAACAAATATATATGTATGAGTGTATATACATAATAGTTCTTCCCCAATCACTCGCCATTGCGATCCACACTTGGCCTTTGTCCACATGTTTTTTCATCTGTGGTTCCCTCCTATCTCAGCCCGTGTGACCATGTGTAAATCTCACGAAGCTTCCCTCATTCCCAATTATTCACCACTTTCAAAGAATCCATTTGTACCTCCACAATAGCATTCATTATCCTCTGCTACATATAAATTATGAAGGTATCTCCCAAGTTCTTTGAGAAGAGAGGGCCAACCTGATTTATTGGCTTGTTTGAAATTTAGAAGAGTTACTGAATTTGCCTGCCCCTGGATTTCTAAACTCCACTGTGTCTTACAAAGAGCTTACAGTTTATCTTCCAGAAGTGTACCTCTCTCTGATAGTTTCACTCAACCATTCAAAAATCTTCAATGACTATAAAATGACAGTCTCCAAGGCAGGAGAGAGAAGGAGGGAACTTGAAAGACGCCTGCCTGCAGGAGACCTGGAGCAACCAACAGAATGATTAAATCCACCCTACATCTGAAAATACTAACACATAACCAGGCAAATCAGAGCACAGACTACAGGAAAGGGACTTAAAGGGCTAGACACCACTTAAAGTACCAAGCATGCAATTTAATGTGACCAACTCAGTTTAAAGACGCCAGGAAGATTTAAAGAGACAGTCTTTCAATTGCATGGCTTCTGGGGGAGAAAAAGCAAAAAGGAAGGATCATAAATTAGGTCACAAAGGAAACACCAGTAGCATGCATAAAGTGGAAATGTTACAAACAATGCTCTCTGATAACAATGCAATAACACAAGAGTTTACCAATAAAAACAAAAACAGAAAAACCCTGGAAATAAAAAAAATTTTAAATCTATTAAGCAACTCTAGGGAGAGAGAGGTAATACAAACTGAAATGACAGAATTTAAAAAAATAGTGACAATAAAAACACTACATATTAGAATTTAAGGTATTTAAAATAATGAATAGAAGAAAATTCACTGCACTAAGATATTTTATCAATAAATAGGAAAAATAAAAATAAATGAAATATCCTGCTCAAAAAAGTATAAAAAGTAGGTAGTAAACTAAAAAGAAAGCACATGTAAGAAAATAATAGTTTTATCTTTATTATTAATCTTTATTTATTAATGAGGAAGAGGCTTACCAAAATGACTCATTAAGAAATCCAAATCCTGGGTTTTTTAAAATTAATAAAACAGACAAAACACTGGCTAACTTGTTCATGAAAAAGGCAGAAAGCACATACATACAGAAAAAATGACAAAGGGGAAATAACCATGAAAACACAAGAAATTTTAAACCATAAGACTACTTTGAAGAGTATGCAAGTAAACTACTACAATGCAAGTAAAGTTGGAAACCTAGATGAAATGGAAAATTTCCTAGGGAAATACAGATTACCAAAATTTACCTATTAGAGTTAGAAAATGTAAAGAATTTTCATAGGAGATATAGAGAAAGTTATGACAGAATTATCCCACAAAAAGTACTAGACCCAGATGGTTTCCCAGAAGAATTCTACCAAACTTTCAAACATCAGATAGTCCTAATGTTCTTTAAATTATTCCAGATAATTGAAAAGGAATGAAAAGTTACTAGTTTATTTTATGAAGTATAACTCTGATACCTAAACCAAATAGGAAAAAGAAAAAACAAAAACTACAGCTCACTGTCTCTCACAGATACCATTGAAAAAATTCTAATCAAATTATTAGCAGAACTCAACACTACTTCATGAAATAATGCATCATAATCAAGTAGGATTCATTTCAGGAATGCAAGGTTGGTTCAATATTAGGAAATCCATTTACACCATATGCCATATTAATACATCTAGGGGGAAAATATCTATCTCCATAAATCTGAGAAAGCCTCTAACAAAACTCACCTCCTTGGCCATAATGAAAACACTGAAGAAAATAAAAATTGAGGCATTCCTTTTAATATTTTAAATGTACATGCCTTAGTCCTAAAGCCAGTACCTTATTTAATGGTGAACACTAGAGGCATTTCCCCTAAGATCACGAAAAAGGCAAGAATGCCCACAGTCTCCATCACTATTCATCAACCCTTTACTCGAGGTGTTAGTCTATGCAAAACAAATCTACTGCAAGCACAAGTATGGGTTAAAAATATAAAATTATCTCTCCTGGCCAGTGTGGCTCAGTGGTTGAGCGTTGACCCATGCACCAAGAGGTCGCCGGTTTGATTTCTGGTCAGGGCACATGCCCAGGTTGTGGGCCCGATCCCCAATAAGGGGCATGCAGGAGGCGGGCCAATCAATGTTCTCTCTCATTGATGTTTCTCTCTCCCTTTCCTTTCCTCTCTCTCTAAAATCAATAAAGAAAAAAAAATTGAGTAAGATTATCTCTGTTTATAAATAATAGTATACCTGGAAAATCATGACTATCAGTGCTTGCTTACGGCTCAGGGATGGGGTAGGGGAGGACAATGAGCAGGAATTGTGAGTACTAATGGCCACAGGGTTTCTTTGAGGGGTAATAATAATGTTCCCAAATTGATTGTGGTGATGGTGACACAACTCTGTAAAAAACAACAATGCATTGAGCACTTTAAGTGGGTGAGTTGAATGGACTGTGGATTACATCTCAACAAAGCTATGTAAACCAAAAAGCACAGGTGGAGGGGTGAGCCCTCAGAAGACAGGCGGGGCTTTTTGAGGTGATGGAAATGCTCTGTATCTTGAGTGGTACTAGAGTGACTTTATCAAACCTCCTCAGAATGTATGTAAATTAATCCTAAATAAAGCTGATTTTTTTTTTTTTAAGATCAAGAGGCATCATATGCACAAATGATAAACACTAAAGAGGACATTATGAGCCCGGCCGGTGTGGCTCAGTGGCTGAGCGTGGACCCTGCACCCAGAGGTCACCGGCGGATTCCAGGTCAGGGCACGTGCCCAGGCTGTGGCCCGATCCCCAGTGGGGGGCGTGCAGGAGGCGGCCAGTCCATTTCTCTCTCATCCATGTTTCTCTCTCTCTCTCCCTCTCCCTTCCTCTCTAAAATCAATAAAGACAAAAAAATCTTTTTAAGAGGACAGTATGGAAGAGGAAACCCCATTCACAACAGCAGAAAAGATCAAACACCTAGAAATAAGTTGGACAAAACTACAGAAGGAAATGCTTTAAACATGAACTGTTCCCGAAAGTCAGGAACGCGGACTGAACACACGCAAAGGCAGCGGGTCTGAGAGAGGAAGTGACCCCAGCTCTGCAAGACGTCAGTTCTCCCCCCCCCCCCAGCGAAGCCCAGCGGGAGCCCCGTGAGCATGCAAGGGCCCCTCGCCCGGGACTCCGGGCTGCAGCTCACAGGCAGACCTCTGGCTGCCCTCCTTAGACTGCCCCGCGCACTGGGGCGTCCTTCCCCCCGCAACCCGAAGCGCAGGACAGCCCGCGGACGGGGGAGCCTGGCCCCGACGGACTGGGGGGCCCGCCAGCAGGGGGCCCGCGGGGCGGGAGGGCTGAGGGGCTCACGGCCCTGGGACTCCGACGCCCACAGGGCGGCTGCCGAGGCGGACGAGGGGGACGAGAAGCGGCCTGACCCGCCCGCCCCGCCCGCCCGTCCCCTTCGCGCCACCTGCACGCGCCGCCGACCGCCCGCCGCTCCGTGCGCTCGACGCCCGCGCCGCTGAGGAGGCCGCGCGGATCCCGGGCCCAGAGCCGGGGGGCAGCTCCCCGCCGCCCGGGGCCCCGGCCGCCTCTCCCCGCGGCCCCTCCTGGCCGCCGCCAGCCTGGAGCCCGGGGCTCCCTCGGCCCTCAGCCCGGCGGCCACCCAGCTGCAAGACGCCGCCACACTGGTGCGAGCCGAAGCGGGTCACGTAGACGAAGCGCGCCGGGTCCCGCTCCTGCTTCCCGCGGGCCGCGGCCATCGCAGCCTTCGGTCCGCAACCGCCGCGAGCGCCCTCAGCCACCCGCCCGCGGCCGACGGGAGGGGGGACAGAGGGGCGGACCACGGCGCGGGGGCGGGGCTGCGGCTGGACCACTGGGCGGGGAGCCCAGGGGGAGGAGCACGGTTTGGGGGCGGGGCGACTGGGGCTGGACCACTGTGGGTGTGTGTGGGGGAGCCGAGGGGCGGACCACGGCGCGGGGGCGGGGCTGCGGCTGGACCACTGGGCGGGGAGCCCAGGGGGAGGATCACGGTTTGGGGGCGGGGCGACTGGGGCTGGACCACTGTGGGTGTGTGTGGGGGAGCCGAGGTGCGGACCACGGCGCGGGGGCGGGGCTGCGGCTGAACCACTGCGGGGGAGCGAGGGGGAGGAGCCGAGGGGCGGACCAAGGCGCGGGGGCGGGGCTGCGGCTGGACCACTGTGGGTGTGGGGGGACCGATGGGGAGGACCACGGTTTGGTTGGGGGCGGGGCGACTGGGGCTGGACCACTGTGGGTATGGGGGGGAGCCGAGGGGCGGACTACAGCGCAGGGGCGGGGCTGCGGCTGGACCACTGTGGGTGTGGGGGGCCGAGGGGCGGAGCCGAGGGAAAGAACCAGGGCGCGGGGGCGGGGCCACTGGAGCTGGACCACTGTGGGTGTGGAGGGAGAGGAGCCAGGGGGAGGGACCTAGGTGTGTGTGGGTGGAGGGTAGCTGAGGGGTAGGACCACTGTGTGTGGTGGGGGGCAGAGGTAAGTAGTTGAGGAGCTGGACTGGACCATTGTGGAGGGGAGGGCTGGGGAGGGCTGACTGAGGACCCGACCACTGTTGGGGGGCAGCTGAGGGGAGAGACTGCTGTGGGGGCGAGGGGGCTGGGGCTGGACCACTGTGGAGGTGCTGGAGGGGGACTACCGTGAGGGATTCCAGCTGGGGAGCCGGAGCGGGGGCTGGAGCGGGGGCTGCCAGTGCGGGAGGATGGGGGTGGGGAAGCGGTAGGGCCATGAGAGGCTGGGAGCCTGGTCTCTCAGTGGGCGAAGGGAAGAGGGGCATCTGGGGGAGACCAACTGCAGGGCGAGGGGAGACCCAGCGAAGCTAGAAGGCAGGGAGACCTGGACAGTCACTTGGTTGGGAGTGAGGCATGGACCACTCATCTGGAAAGTGGTGTTAAGAGTTTGGGGACCAGCTTGCTTGGGGTGATGGGCAGACCAGAGGAGAGAGCCCTCTGAGGAAATGAGCTGAATCCAGAAGAGGGTGGAGGAAGGGGCCCAGGGCACCGGGTCACCCCTCTCTGTGGTTTAAAGTGGGCAAGATTTAAAAGTGGGGAGCTGACCCTGAACTTGACCAATCTGGATGGAGTGTCACCCAGATGCAGTTGGGGGCCTGAGGGTGGAGGGGCGACACCACCTTTGCTGCAGAGGGCTCCAGTGAGACCCTGGTCTAGCATGTGTTGGCGCTGGGCCATGGTCCTCGGGAGACCCCCCCCCCACACACACACACACACACAGAACATGGGCCTGAAGCCCATCCGGGTTCAGCGCTGACCAGCTGGGTTATTTGGGCAGGCCACCTTCCCTCTCTGAGCCTCCCGTTTTCTCAGATGCAAACTTAAGATCACTGAGTTGTTAAAATAACTCAAAATAAAGCACATTAAGCCTGGCACATAATAAGAGGTAGTTCCCTTAGGCTGAATTTTAATTTCACAGTTATTGAGTACATACCCTGTAAACTACACATGGCAACATTTTTTACAAGTATGCTTGACGATTGATTACCTTTCCCATAGACCATCTTGTCCCATCTGTGCTTCATCCGACAGCAGAGAACTGGGGCTCCAAAATGGGGAGTGACGTCCCCAAAGAAATAGGCAGTGCCATGCTTTCTTAAAATAAACTTTCTAAACTGATTTATGAATATGTGCAGAAAAGTAAAGCAAACATCAGTACACAGATGGATGAATTTCCACACAGCAAACATGCCCGTGTCAGGTCCACCCAGGTGAGTAAAGGGCGCACTGCAGAAGCACCTCGTGTCCTTGGCCAGAACCGATTCTGGTCCTCTTTCCCAAGGCCAAACATCAGTTAGGTTTTGCCATTGTGTTTGACTTCTCTCACTCAAGTTACGTTCGTGAGGTACCTGTTACTGCATGAGTTGTACGTCGTGGAATAGACCTCCATTTATTCATCCATTTCACTGATGTTGGATCTTTCGTTGTTTTTCATTTGAGCCCATTGTTAATAGTGTTGCTAGGAACAGTCTTATATATACCTTTTGTTGAACACAGGTTATAGGGTATCTACCTGAGTGTGGGATTAGGGTGTTCATATGTTCAACTTTAGTTGCTCCTGACAAACAGGTGCCAAAGCGGTTGTACCAATGTACACTCCCACCAGCAAAGTGTGAAAATTCCAGTTGCTCCACTGTTCACAACCATTTGACTTGTCAGTCTTTTTCATTTGAACCATTTGGATGGACATGTGTATGAGGGTTCTCCAGAGAAATAAAACCAATAGGAAATGTATATATGTAGGATAGATATATATATCGAGAGATTGAGAGAGAGAGAGAGAGATTTTAAGGAATTGACTCAAGCAATGACAGAGGCTGGCAAGTCCAGAATCTTCAGGGTAGGTCAGCAGGCTGGAGACCTAGAGGAGTCTTGAGGCTGAAGTTCAAGTCTGAAGGCCATCTGCTGGCGGAATTCTCCTGTCTTCGAGGGAGGTCATTCTTTTTCTATTAAAGGCTTTCAACTAATTGGATGAGACCCACCCCGAATTATGAAGCATAATCTGCTTTACTCGAAGTCTACTGGTTTAAATGTTAATCTCATCTAAAAAAATATCTTCACAGAAACGTCTGTGACCAAACATCTGTGGCCAAGCCAATATGACACCTAACATTAACCACGTGGTATTTCTTTCTTGTAATTTGTGTTTCCCTGATGACTTATGAAGTTGAATTCATTGGCCATTTGGATATCATCTTTGATGTTTTAATCCCTTCTCTATTTATATAGGGGGTTCTCATTTGCTACAAGAAGTTGTATCTTAGCTTAGTTGCATGTATTACAACATTTTTTTCTTATTTGTGGCTTACCTTATTTGTGCTAAGCATTTACATGGAGTATCTACTTTAATTCTCAGGATCACCCTATGAGACATGGACTGTTGTCAGCCCCATTTTACAGATAAGGAAGTGAAGACTCTATAGAGGGTTAGTAGATCAGCCAAAGTCACAGCAGGGTGGTCTGAGAGCAGGGATTCAAACCCAGGCTGTGTGGGTTCTGCATCCACGCCCTCAGCCCCTACTCAAGACTCTCTCTATCACTATATCTGTCACATCTCTCACACTGGGCAGTAGCTGTCTCTCTCCTCTCCTTCTCTGAGCACCCCCCTCCTCCCAACAACCGGCCAGAAGGATGAAGAAATGAAGAAATGGTTGACTCTTTAAGCCAGGAGCCTTTTTAGTTGCTCAGCTCATATCATCCACCAGGTGGCAGTCACAGCTCCCAGATAAAATTGTCTCTCTTCCCCTCCCATTTCACCTTAAGGAAGAACTCAGTTCTTATTTTTACCAAAAAGTATTCTAAATTCCAACCACGACTCTTTCAGACACTTGGAGAAAATGCATTTCCAATCCTTGCGCACCTGGGGTAGGTGGCCCTGGCTGCTGGTCAGGACACCTGGAGAGATGCAGGGCATGCTTGGCTGGTGCTCGGCATAGGAAGACCAGGAGCAACGGTGTAAGATGCCATTTCAGCCCACAAAACAGATGAGCTCCTCCTCCCTCCCCACCCCTCATCAAACAGGGGCTGCGAGGGAAGCCAAAAGCGCATTCCTAGTCATGGACCATGTGGCCAGCAGCAGGCACGATGGGGACATACGGCCCCCCAGGAGATAGCCACATTTGACGGTCAGTAAATGGTCTTCCCACCTCATCTGTGCCCGATGCTGTTCCTTCACCCTCCACTGGTTCTGCCACATGCTTCTGGCAGCTTCCACCATGTTCCTCAGTGTGGGGAGGGGACTGATTTTAAGGGGGTGTGGGCTGGAATGGTCCTTGCTGCTAAGCCGACCCCAGCATTCAAAACAATAACCCCAGGACTTGTCTGAGAAGAAAAAAGCCCAGGCCAATTCTAATTCCATGGTTGGGGTGGCAAGAGGGAGGTATATTTTTTGAAGTGAAGAAATTGTGATCTATTTTAAATGCTTACATTAAACAAATAAATGCTGTTAACTCGCAAAATACAATGGAACAGAGTTATGCTTTTCTCAAGAAATTACAGGAGCTTGAGGTGGTTTTATATTGGGGTGTAACTGACATGTAACCGTTTCAGGGGTACGACATAATGATTTAGTATTTGTATATATTTAGAAATGATCACCACAGTAAGTCTAGTTAACATTTATCACCTCACATAGCTGCAATTTTTCTTTTCTTGTGATGGGGCTTCTTTCTTTTTTCTTTTTTTTTTTTTTATCCTCACCCAAGGACATTTTTCCATTTTTTGTTCAGGTAGAGTGGGAGGGAGAGAGAGGGAGAGAGAGAGAGAGAGAAACATCGATGTGAAAGGGACACATCGAGTGGCTGCCACCCGCACAACCAACCGGGGCCGGGGACAAACTGCAACCGAGGTACGTGCCCTTAGCGGGAACCGAACCCGGGTCTCTCTGGACTGCAGGCCGATGCTCTAACCACTGAGCAAAACCGGCCAGGGCGAGATGGGACTTCTTGTTTAAGACTGGAGTCTGTGCAGTGTAAGTAGAGGGTATGATCGTGGTACCAAGCTTAAAGGTATATGATGGCTCAAGTCTACTGGCACACCTGTCAGGGGATGTCCATGGCCATTGTTTAACCTGGAGATAATGTCAACACTCCATTTTCTGCCCTTTGTGAATGAGGGGACCTTGGGCTCCAGAGGACCTCGCTGGGACACTGAGTTTGTTGGGACTGAATGGATGGGAGTAACCAGCCCTATGGCAGACTAAGACTTCTCTAGACCTGGTG